CCCTATTGTGTGAAGATCTTAATTAGCTATGTTTTTGGAGCATAGATGCTAGGATACAAGAGCATGTACTTTTTGAATTTTTGAGTTATGTATTTCACGTTATAGACTCTTGTATTATGGACCTTTGTGGGGAAAACATGTATTCTATGTATGAAATATGTGTTATATGCAATGTATGGATTTGTGGTTGTTACACAAGCGTGTCACAGCAACAGCTAATAAATAACACCATAAGTTCTAATAAGTTTACATCCATAACCAAGTTGGTGATTAATACAAAATACACAAAATCATTTGTTACAAATATGCTCCAAAAGTTTCATTTCTTTAATTATTTCCTAAAAAACATGAAACATAAAACGACGTCAACTACAAAGAGTTGGTGAATTCACGAGTGTTCATATGCACAAAACATTACAATGCATAAATCAATTCTTGCAAACTTATACATAACTTTTGCACATAATAAATGTATACCAAAAACTTGAGATGCTACTGAGTCTTACTTGACCAATGTGCCCCATTATTTACGAACGACCATAAGTAGCCTGTGTACTCACTTAGGTCCCACAGTTCGTAATAGTACTAATTCAACGGTGGTCCAAATTCCACATGATTAGACCGGTAAAACGTAGGTAATGTGCACCCCTTTCTGGGTGGGACTGTCAACACAATAACGGCTATCCACAAATACCACGGCTTGGGGATGTACCCGAGTTAACAAGTAGCGTTTACGGAAGGGGACTTTATTTGGAAAATATTTTCTCAAGCACGTCAATTTACATATATATCATAGTGCAAAACAAAACAGTCAATATTTCATGACATAACTAATTCTTGACTAAACTATCGTTAGTCCAATAATTTTAAACAACCGCATAGTTTGCACTACTTCATGCTTTTCCCCCAGTTAAAAATAGCTAAAAGCAGTAAAAATGGGGTCGTGAAACTCACATAGTTGCTGTTTGAATAACCAAGAGCTTGATAACACTTGAAGCTCTAATCACCCACTCTAGCTTTTCCTAAATAGTCCAATATCCGGAAGTTAGATCACCTGTAGGGTCTCGATAAAGATAAAGTTAAGTGTATCTTACGTAATGCCAATGAGTTTTTAAGTAATAAAGTTTATTCTTATTTCGTGTGCTTGTTAAAACAGTCCAAATCTTCAACACATGAAGAATACTTGAACAGAATATACATTCTGTTTCTGGAATTTTTAGTACTATCAATTTCACTGTCAAAAGGGACTTTCCACAAATCATTTTATGTCCAAAATTTTATACCAACGAACTTACTGTTTTAGGTAACTGTGTTCCAGATTCCACTTCTTTTGAAACTGTTTTAGTCACTCAAATGTCCAGCTTATTTGGAGGTAACAGAGTATTCTGGACAGATTGCATTCTGTCAGATTTTTGATCAATTGAAAGGTCTAAACTCAATACTTTTCAATGATTCCAATTGGATCGTAAACCCAACTCATTTACTCAACTTCCAGAAGAAGAATTACACAATTTCATTACATTTTGAGAAAGTTATGCTATTTTGAACAGACATGAAGGTTTCTGTCCAACAGCATTATCTTGCACCAGAATCTTGTGTTAAGCATTTGAATGCTCAAAACTCAATAATTTCGCATGAAACCAAAAAAAGTAGAACACCAACTCACCAAATCAAATTCCAGAAGAAAAATCAAGTAATTTGGATAAGTTTTGAAGGAGTTATAAACTTTTAAAGTAGGATTTACCTACTGTTGAAAATGCTGCTGCGTACACAAATTGTTTCAAACGATTGAAGGGTCAAAACTCCTTCAATCTACATGATTCCAATTGGAAAAGAACCATAACTCATCAAGTATAATTTAAAAGAAAAATCAGAACATTTGGACTTTTGGTTCGAAAGATACAGTCGACCCAACAGCTAACAGAATCTGTTAGTTTTCAAAATAACACTCTAAATGGTTAAATTCCACATGCATTGTGGTTTTATCTAATATTCTTAGAGTTCTAAGTCTGTGGATCATAGATTATCATCATTTTGAAGACATTTTCATGTCTTTGATGTATAATCTCCCCCTTGGATCTCCAGAAAGTTTTTAAGTCTAAAAAGAGAGATGAAGTGTAGAAGATGAAGGTATTTGGTTGAGATTTCCTATTACTTTTTCTTGAATCTTCTTGAAGATTGAATGTTCCTCAAGATGATGAATTTTTGAGTTTGTAGCTAGAAGAATCGGCTGATTTAGGAGTTCTTAGAAAGAGGTTAGGGAGAAATTTTAGAGAGAGAGGGAAAGAATTGGTTGAAAATGAAGAAGTATAAGGGAATTTTCAAAATAACACTTGTATTTATATGAGGGTTTAATAAAATCAAATGGGCTGGACTTCTTTAAGCCCAAATCCAATCTTTAATTAAAACTTTCTTTTAAAATTTTTCAGCCCAAAGTATTTAATTTAAAATAAAAGYAATTTGTTAAATACTGATAAAATTATCAGTATTAGGTCAAACTCAAATTTTCATAAAATTATTTGGACATTCAAATAAAGCTTTTATAATTAAATTTGGACTTTTATAACATCAACTTTATTTTATTTGGAGGATTTTAATGAATTTGGCATTACATAATTTAACTTTATCTATTACCCATCGTGATAGGATTTTCTGAACTATATCTTGGAAGCTAAGTCAAATGAGTTCTAATCACTTGACTAGATCCTAATATAATTCTTAACTTAGAATTCCTACAAGGTACTAACCTGATATTCAAAAATGACAGATGTCACAGTATTACGAGTACCAGCCAGTTGGATCAAACAACAATAATAGCAACATATGGGTCAGGTAATGCAGCTGCTGTTGAAGTAGAGATGAATTATGAATGATTTGCAGTAGCTGTTAATTGGTTCACCATCAAAGGGCATTTACAAAATTGTAAAACCTGTGTGGACAGACAGGTGATTAATCATTCTAAACAAACTCGAAGGAAATCGAAATTCTAGGATCAATCAACAAAGTGGTCAGGTTGAAACTGGAACAGCAAAAAAAATCACTTCGGATACACAAACCATAAACTTTGACA